GTAGATCACATCTTTATTTTGAATTAATTTCTGATTATGGCTCTTACTTAAAAGTTCACTTAAGCTGGTGTGGTGGCTCACATCTGTAATCCTAGCACTTTTGGAGCCAGAGGCAAAAGGATTGCCTGAACCTAGGAGTTGGAGACCAGCCTGGGCAACTTGGCAGGTCCTTGTCTCTACAATAAATCAAAAAGTTAGCCTGGCATGGGGGTGCACCTCTGTAGTTCCAGCTACTTTGAAGGCTGAAGCAGGATTGCCTGAGCCCAGCAGATCAAGGCCACGGTAACCGGGATTGTGCCACTGCACTCCAGCCTGGGCAACAGAATGAGACTCTGACCAAAACAACAAACAAAAAACCCTAAATAGCCATAGAATTTTCATTAAAAATGTTTGTAGTAAGGATGTAAATACTATAAAATATCTTATATGGACTAATGAGTCAGCACTTAAGAGGTAGTAAGAGGTAAGCAAAAAAGATAAAGATCACTCTAAAAACAAACATATCTACTGATTTATAAGGATTTCCTATTTTTTTTTTGGCTTACTCCATTGCCCAGACTGGAATACAGTGGCACAATCTTGACTCAACACAACCTTGGATTCCTGAACTGAAGTGATCCTCCTGCCTTAGCCTCCTGAGCAGCTTGGACTACAGGGGAGCACCACTACACTTGGCTAATGTTTTTTGGGGGGGAGAGTAGAGATAAGGTCACATTATGTTGCCTGGGCTGGTCTCAAATTCCTGGGCAGAAGCGATCCTCCCACTTTGGCCTCCCTAAGTGCTAGGATTACAGCCACTGTGCCAGATCTGAATTTCCATATTTTAAATAGAAAAGTTATGTGGGTCATGGATATAATGTAATTCTGTGTTGGTAAAATAAGCTAATAAATTCCCTAAATACGGGTGTATGTATAAAGAATGAGGACAGGTACAAAAAACTTTATTATTCTCATTCCCCTCAGGTGGAAAGATGACTTTGACTTTATACATGTTTGTACCATATTATTTCAGTTATAAGCATTTATTACTTGTACTTTCCGGTCATTATCATCAACACCACCTGGGAACTTGCTAGAAATGCATATTCTCAGGCCCCACCACAGACCTAGACAATCAGAATCTGTATTTTAACAATACCCTAGCATTTCGTATGTACATTTAAGTTTGAGAAGCACCACTTAGGTCTCCATTATGCTATAAAGGATGCTATTACTCAGCTGCCTCCTTTTTCTTTAAGTTGCATTTCTTTTGACTTTTTATCATAGTCAGGGCAGTCACCTTAATACCAGTCATTACTTCTCTGTAGTTATGCCTTGATGCCCTTATAAAAATCAACATAACCTAAAACAAGTAAGATCTGCAGTGAGGTAGCCAAACAAAACCAAGGCAAACCATGGCCAATGTTTCTTCTGAGAACAAGTTATTTCATAAAACTTCCATCAGTGTGTTTAAATAAATATAAATTTTGGATTGCTTCCTTACAGGAGACACTGAAAAATAACTTAATGGCTTCTGAGAGGCTTACAATGTAGAAATAACTAGTAGAACAAGGTGACTCAGAACCAACTAAAAGACTATTGCAAAAAGAATTAAGTTTGCAGTTTCAGGGTCTTAAAGAATATAATCTACCTAAAACAAAAATGACCAATTTTATGAGCATCCTGATGCAAGGTACTACACCACTTGGACCTGTGGTACAAGATGTTTAACAATGCTGTCAAAGGGCTTCCAAGCTTTGGCAACAGACGAGAAAAATGAGTGTGGGGCCAATGCTTTTGTTCAGTTCTGGCCTGGCCATGTGTTCACTGAGCTATGTCTGGGCCATGTTTCCCTAAGGTTTGGCCCCATCCTCTACCTTGCAGAGGTGAATCCTTTCTCTCCCTCTTTAGTTTCTAAATAAACTATATTTTTCAGTCTAAAAAATGAAAGTGTACCAACTACTACCAGTGTTACCTGGTGTACAGAATTCCTGCAAGATGAAATGTTTGCATGTATTGAATTTGAGTTCTAGAGTGAGGTCACCCATTGACTATGTCCACTAGACATTTGAAAGTATGAAGCAGAAATTGAAGAAAAGTATCAGGTGGGATAGAAGGATCTTGGAGGGAGTCTGCTTGGATGTGCTAGTTAAGCCAAGAGAATGACTGGGATAGTCACAGGAGGGGATAGAGTAGAGAACCAAGGGCTGAAATTACAGGTGTGACTTGAGAAAGACAGCAATAGTAAAGGTTTGGAAACCCAGTAAACTTTTGTGTTATAGAAGGGAATGAGGATTTCAAGAGAGAAATTGCCATTATCAAATACTCTGGCAGTGAAGTGTGAGAATTCAGAAAAAACTACAGATATAAATGGCTCTTGAGGGTGCAGAGAGCAGATTGCAGGTTAATAAGCAAAACATTCAGAAAATGATGGTGGATCACTTCTAATTGGCAAACAATGGCTTCAACTAAAAGAAATTTTAAACCAAGATCTGTGTGTCTAAACAGAGGAAAAGCAGGGAAGACTGCAGATGCTAGAGAGTTGATGTACTTGACAACAAGGAAGGCCTTGGGAGCAGATGCATAATTCAACCAAGGCCAGAAAGCAGTCAGTGTTGGAAGGGACTTGTGTGTCTTCCCTTCTGGTAAAGGAAACCTAGTGAGATAGAGCCTCAAAAACAGTAGTTTTCATCCTCAGGTGCACATCATAATCACCTGAGGAGCTTTAAAAAGCCTAATGCCCTGGCGATACCCCAAATTGCATGTCAAAATCTCTTGAGGCGTGGCATACAGGGATTAGTATTTTTAAATCTCCCTAGTTGATTATAATGTGCATCCCTTGTGAAAATCACTAGACAGAGCTATTGAGAAAGATAAGGGTATTTCCACATAATGGCCTTTTACCTTCTCCTATGATTGAGAACCATCTACTAGGAATGAAAGATGAGAAAGACAGCAGTAGTAAAGGTTTGGAAACCCAGTAAACTTTTGTGTTATAGAAGGGAAAGGAGTTCAAGGAGCTTAGTTACTGAGAAACCAGAAGGGTGCAGTCACAACAGAAGTCATCTGTAGTGGGCCAAGTGAGGAAAGTGAGGTGTCTTTCTTTGGAAAGTTTGGAGGCTCAAAAGAACAAAAGCAGTAGTGAAAGGTAAATGTATGAGCATGGATATAGTATCTGATTAGGAAGCTCAGGATGACTAATGAGGCGAACTGGGAGGGTGGGACAACCAGGGTCTCCAGAGTGGACAATCTTCTAGGAGGGTTGGGAGATGTAAGCTGTCCCAAGAGACCAAGTACAATGTGACAATGAGGTCCAAGCCTGTTGATGACAAGACCCAGGGTATGGTTGAAGCAATGTGGAATGGAGCAGATGGTCTGGGAAGCACATATGGGGCAGAAAAGGAGGCAGGGTCAGGAAGGAGAAGTAGGCCAAGATGGGCAGATGCTTGGTTAAACAGCAATAAATGGAGGTGAGGACGTGTATCTCAACAATTCAACAGAGTGTCGTTTCCAGGGTATACGGCTGGCACAGTGACTCCTGGTTTTCATTTTCACAGAATTTTGGCTAGCAGAAAAAGTACTATCTCCATGTGAGAGATTATTTTCAAATACATTTAAGTAGGGCAAAGGTAGAAAAGGCAACAGAAGTAATGTCAAGGAAAACTGCCCACCACAGAACTGGGGAGCACAGGCACAGTGTAAAGAGGTAGGAACAGCACAGAGGGGCTGAAGATCCCACAAAGGTATGGACAGGGCTCAGGAATGAGCAGCACATGTCCAAACATAGGGATACCCAAAAGTGAAACAGGACAGGGAGGTAAGTGTGTCAAGGTCTCCACATAAGTAATAAAAAAAGAGAATCAACCTTACAAGGAGCAGATCCACCAGGAACATGGCATAGGAATGAGCCCAAACAGGCAGAACTAGGCCATTCCTAACCCAGATCCTTAACCAGGCATGTTCCAACAGTTTGGGGACAACATGTGCCCCACGAAAATTACCTTGTCTCAGAGAGCCTCAACTTTTTGAGTCTCAATGAAGGATGGTAACTAGGAAGCTTCAGCAAACTGCAGCCTAGATGGGACGAGGCTCTAAAAACCAACATTTCAGCTGAGTACTGTATTCACAGAATGAAAAAAAGTCAGAAGTGACAAGGAATAATGGGCCGTATGGAGAAGGGTCCTTCTGTGGAAACAACTTTTCTGAATATTATTATGTTAATGTAGGGCTGAAACACAAAATTAATCTTTTTTTTTGAGCTGGAGTCTCACTCTGTCGCCCAGACTAGAGTGCAGTGGTCGCTCCCGGCCACCGCAGCCTCGACCTGCTGGGCTCCGGTGATCCTTCCGCCTCAGCCTTCCAAGTAGCCGGAATTACAAGCATGCGCTACCATGCCCGGCTGATTTTTTGATTTATTGTAGATGAGGTCTCGCTGCCCAGACGGGTCTCGAACCCGCAGGCTCAGACAATCCACTCACCTCAGCCTCCCAAAGGCGCGGGATTACAGGCTGAGCCACCGAGCCCGGCTACAAAATTAATCTTTAAAGGAATGAGTACAGGCAGTGTGCTAACACCTCTCGCAGATCAAAAATAACAGGAACTTGGTCACTCACTCTTGATTTTTAGATATGGTTGGGATTTACTACTAAGCTGTTTAAGAGGGATTCCCCTTCACATGTATATTCCATAACAACACATAAAAGGAGACTTTTGCTAATAAAAACTTATCCTCTGAATTTGGAGTACATTGCCCCTCTTGGAAGTTCGAAGGTCTTACATACATCACCCTTACCTTACTTATGTTTACACAGCTCTTTGCTTTTCAATAGATCCAGTAAAAAAAACCAAAAATGTTCCTTCAGCTAACTCTGTTTTGTGATTGTACCAAGAAACTGGCATAAGTTCCCTAAGACATCTGCTCAAAACACTAGTGTGTCAGTTTTGAGAATCAAGAGCTCTTGATGCAGTAAACTGCATGACAGGCAAGACACAGATTTTCCTTTCAGAAAAAAACGTTCAAAGGCGTTTAAAGCTTTTTATTTTAAAAATAAAATTGACTCATAAAGTGCAAGAAGACATAATTCTTTCCAGTGCTCAATATCAATCTTCAACAAGCTGCTGGAAACAGAAAAGAGAAAAAATTAGAAACATATAACCAAACTTCAAATTATTATACTGTGGTGTTAAAACAAAAACTATAAGATCTGGTGCTACAGAGAAGTCCTGAAAATTTAGCATGCACAGCTGTGATGTAAAAGCTAGTTACTAGATGAAAGGCTTACAAACCACTCTTGCCACTTTACCGGGCTGCCAACAACCTAAGGATTCAGACTGGAGTTTACAAAACGTCAATGCAAAGACGTCCTATGGTGCTAACCAAGGAGGTCATGGGAAAGAATGATGGGTGTGGGGAGGAGGAGGAAGGTGGCAAGAACACACCTCCCCGGTCCATTCTGAAGTCTGATGCTTTCTGGCTGTAAGACGATATTGCACGGGGCAAGACATTCCCATTAAACACCCGCAGTAAACTAAAATACGACACCAAAGAGCACGTTACTAGAGAAAACAAAACGTCCTCCTCCTCTGGGCGAACAAGTCACCTCCTGCAAGCTATCCAAAGTCGGCCCCAAGATGTCCGCCCGACCCAAACGTCTCCCCTTGGAGTGCTACTGTATGCACGGCTCACCGACACTGCGGGAAGAGTCCACCACGACAGGCTGGGGGGTACAAGGCAAGCCGGGCTCGGGCCGGCGCCGAGCCTGACCTCCCGCGCGGGCATGGCAAGGTGGCCACGCGGGGACCGACGGCGCGGGGTCTCAGGCCAGGTCCAGTTTCTTCTGCGTCGCCGCCAGCTTGTCCTGCAGCCTCCGCTTCCTCCAGTCCAGGAAGCGCCTCCGCAGCCGGTTCGCCTGCCAGCCCAGGACTACGCCTGAGGCAAAGGCTACCAGCACCGACAGCTGCAGCGTCCTCTCGGACACATCCGCCATGGTAGCTGCCGGGCGTGCAGCGCGATCTACGGCGTGGCGGCCGGGTCAAGCGCTGCAGCGCGTTCACGATCGCGGCGCGGACGAAAAGAAGGCGGGGGCGGCCGGACACGCCCCGCGCAGCTGGCCACGCGGAGGTCTCGAAGCTTGCTAAAGACGTTCCCAGCCTGTGGATACTTCCAACTTCCCCTCTCCTGAGCCCCGACTTGACTTAATCAGATTTTGCCTTACCTTGTTAGCTAATTTTGGGAGCTTGTCTTGCTCATCCTGCTGTAAGTGCAAAGTTCTGCATTTTCTTTCAGCAGCAGAACGCGAGTCACATGTGTAACTTTAAGTTTTCTGGTAACCTGTGTGTTTTTTAAATAGACAAATAGAGACGTGAAATTGTGTTTAATAATATGCTTTGCCCAATATGTACATTTCAACATGTAATCAGTTTTTAAATTAAGGAGATCGTTTCTTTTTTCATAACAAGCCTTTGAAACCTTTAAAATCTTTTTAAAATGTGTATTTGGCAATTAACGTCGCACCTTAATTTGAACGCTGAATTTTTAATGGAGATACGGGGTCAGCATCTAGACTTAGTAAAATTTATAGTTGAAAAATTATTCCTATGCCTCAGATGTTCCAGACACGCAGAAAATTTTTCCAATTATTGAGTTGAGTATCTGTTTTTAAATTTAATTTAAATCCATTAAGAATGTGTATAAACTAAAAATCCGGTTCTTCAGCAACACTAGCTACATAGGGGACCAGTGACTACCAGATTGGACAGCACAGGTTTAGGGCACAATGCTGTACTAGAGCTTATACAGGGTCAGAATTGTTGGGATAGGAAGCAAACATATATGTAATGATGAAAATCACTGTGATTCCCTCCCCACTCCCAGTGGTTTCTATCTCCTGGTGTTCAGGCCTTTGTGTAATGCCATCCCTATGAGTGTGAGTAGGGCCTGTGACTTGCTTCTAACTAATAAAACGAAGTAAAGGTGATGAAATGTCACTCTTGTGATTATGTTCAACAAAGCTTCTTACCAGATTGAAGACTCTCCTTGTGGCTTGATGAAGCAGACGTGTTAGAGAAGCTCACAGAGCAAAGGACTGCAGGTGGCATTTAGGAAGGACAGGATGCCTCTAGCCATCAGGCTGCAAAAAGCTAGAGCCCTCAGTCCCTACAACCATAAGGAAATCAACTCTGCTCACACTCTAAATGAGATGGAAGCAGATTCTTCCCCACTTGAGCCTTCAGATGAGAACATAGTTTGGCACCTTGATTATTGCCTTGTGAGATTCTAACAGAGGACCACCTAAACTATGCTTGGACTCTCTCGACTTATGGAAAGTGTGAGATAATAAATGTGCTGTTGTAAGTTGCTAAGTGTGTAATAATGTGCTATACAGTATAAGATATGGGAAAAATCAAAGTATTTTTCCTACTCTTACTCTCCATACAGACCACCTCTGTTCACCCAACAATGTACTCAGTACTTCTGACTACCAGGGTTCCCAGTAGAGCCCTCCCACCCACAAACCAATTCTGCAGTGAACACCAGTTGGGTATCCTTCAATTCAATTCTGACACTGTCTGCCTGGAAATAGCATCAGATCCTCTAGGTTGAGGACTCAGTCCCACAAAGCTGCTCTCCAATTCAGATGCTAATTCCAAGAATCAGGTTGCCACCTATACCTCTGACTGACTAGATAAGCCAGAAGTTACCACAACCCCTTCCTTAGGTTTAGTTAATTTGCTAGGGCTCACAGAATCCACTTGCTATAAAGGATGTTACAAAGGATGCCGATGAACTACCAAATGGAAAAGATGGATAAGGTAAGGCATATTGGAAGGGGCATGATGCTTTCATGACCCATCTGGGACCACCACCGTCTGGGAATCTCCATGTGTTTAGCTATCACGAAGCTCATTCATCTTAACATACATCTCTGAGTTGTCTTTCGGAAACCAGGACTGCCACCAAATGGATCTCTCTGCAGGCAAACTTCATCATTGGCCATTGGTTATCAACTTAACCTTCAGCCACTTTCTCCTTCCTGGAAGTAGAGGAGCGGGACTGAAATACCACCCTAATTATGCCTTGGTCTTTCCTGTGACCAGCCCCCATTCTGAAGATGTCTAGGGGCTCTCAGCCATCAGTCATTTCATAGCATACAAAAGACATTTTTTTTTTTTTTGAGTTGGAGTCTCACTCTGTCGCCCAGACTGGAGTGCAGT